CGGGGGCGGCCGCGGAGGCGCCTCCGAGCCGGACTGCGGGGGGTACCGGAGCCACCGGTGGCACCGCAGCACCGTGACACCGCGACACCGTGACACCGCGACACTGTGACACCGCTACACTGTGACACCGCGACACCACTACACTGTGACACCGCTACACTGTGACATGGCGACACCGCGACACTGCAACACTGTGACACCGCTACACTGTGACACCGCGACACTGTGGCACTGCAGCACCGTAACACTGCAACGCCTTGACGCCACAACACCATGACACCGCAACACTGGGACACCGCGACACTGTGACACCGCGACACCGTGACACAGCTACACTGTGACATGGCGACACCGCTACACTGCAACACTGTGACACCGCGACACTGTGGCACTGCAGCACCGTAACACCGTGACACTGCAACGCCTTGACGCCACAACACCATGACACCGCAACACTGTGACACCGCGACACTGTGACACCGCGACACCGTGACACCGCTACACTGTGACATGGCGACACCGCTACACTGCAACACTGTGACACCGCGACACTGTGGCACTGCAGCGCCGTAACACTGCAACGCCTTGACGCCACAACACCATGACACCGCAGCACTGTGACACCGCGACTGCCACACTGTGACACCACTACACCATGACACTGCAGCACCGTGACACCGCAATACCGTGACACCACAGCACCGTGACGCTGCAACAGCATGACACTGTGACACCGTAACACCACACCACCGGTGACACCGCAGCACCATGACACAGTGACACTGTGACACCGTAACACCACAACACCGGTGACACCGCAGCACCATGACACCACAACACCATGATACTGCAACACCATGACACCACAACACCACGGCACTGCAACACCGTGACACTGCAACACCATGGCATCCTGACACTGTGACACCACACCGTCACAGCACCATAGCACTGCGACACCACAACACTGTGACACTGCAGCACCATGACACAGTGACACTGTGACACCGCAACACCATGACACTGTAACACCTTGACACTGCGGTGGGCTGCCCTCGGGCACATGACCGGTGCCCCTTCTGAGGAAGCTGAAGGCAGAGCGTGGCTGGGGACACCCATTGGGGTGCAGACAGTGGCAGCGGGATCCAGGCTGCTGTGCCTGGGAAGGGGCCAGCGAGTACCCGGGAACGTCCCCGCTTGGTGCCGTGGGGAACCGAGGCTCCCGCTGCCCCCGGACACAACAGCTCCTCTCTGCAGCGGCGCACGCGGCTCCAGGGAGCAGCGCTCCGAGTGAGCCAGGGGGGATTTGTACCTCCCCCCAATCCCTGCTCTGGTGCTAATCCCAGCTGCCCGCCGGGCACTGCAGGGCAAGGGTCACCTTAGCATTAAGGGCTATTTTAGGGAAAAGCCCTGCTCTGCTTGCACAGGACACAGCCTCGGCCTTGCCTGGGCATTAACCCGATTTGCTCATGGTCCGTATTCAGGGACGTGGCAAAGTGAGGCCCACCAGAGCTCCTGCCCTGCTGCTGGTGACAGTGTGGGATTAATCCGGAGCGGGAGCAACCTGTGATGCTCTCAGGGCCATGCAGGTGTCTGCGTGTGCCAGTGCAGTGCAGAGACGCGTTGCATAAGCTGGCACCATCCCCCAAGCACTTTTCCTTCTGCCATCCCCCTGCTTCCACTTTTCCTCCTTTCCAAGCTTGCCAGCGACAGCAGGATTCTGTCAGCAGCACCACAGCAAATAGCCAACATCCCAAACCAGAGGAGTGTCCATCTTCCGAAAGCCAAATTGCTCAGAAATGCAAAGGGGGAAGTGCATCCTACAGGGGGTGTGTATTTATAAAGAGGATTATCGTGTTAATCCGCAGGCAGTCGGTGCGGCAGCTCATGCGCAGCCTGGCAGGGAGACAGCCCCATGCAGCCCCCGCCTGTTGGGGACAGTCCCCCAAGAGCCACCTGTGTCCTCAGCGCGTGAGCCCGGTTGGGTCAGCGCTCAGCCCCCAGGACGGCTCCATGGGCTGCATCCCATAGGACACCCAGGGCCCCGGGAAGAGCCGGGGCTGCTCCAGACGCCGGCACCGGGGCCCC